CCACTTCAGGTCCTGACTTGTGAGGAAGTGATGTTTAGTGTCCCTTCAGTCATATGTGGTCCTAAGTAGGACACTGCAGACATACTGCAACTAGCAAAGAAAGAGAAGCAAGTGGCCTGTGGTTGTTGATAGCAACCCTCTGTTGTTGACCTCTTGTCCTGAGTTATCCTTGAACCTACTGGTTGGAGGTCTATTGACTGCCACTGAGAATGTCATCACTAGACAACTCAGCTGTCTTCTTTTTCCACCCACCCTCTGGACCCTCTATCCCTGCCTGAGAATTCCCTTCTGTCAACTCTTGTAGTGATCCACAGAACATTGAGTTCACAATTAAACACAGAGTGATTCAAGGGCCCCAGCTCCTGGGGCAGGGATGCCACAGCACACTGTCTGATTAATTATGCTGGGTTCTCTTATTGCTGCCACCATCCAAGGTCCATGTGAGAAGAACATCTCTATCATCCAAATCTGGGTCTTGAGGAGTGGCGTTGGAAGTCAGCCTCATACACTTAGTGACCACCTGCTATGTATATTAGGTATAAGAAAGAATAAGACCCAGTGCTCACTTATGAGAAGCTCACTTCCTAGTGTGTGGTCAACCACAACACTAGACAAAATGTGAAGACAGAATTGATGAAGCAAAGTGTGCCCCAAGGACCCGGTCTGTGCTCTATGCTACTGATCATGGCATGAGAAGCTTGTGCCAGGCCAGAAATCAACTCATCACTAGTTATACTGTGGAGTTCAGCTTGCTTGTTTGTGTATTGTAACAAAGTTTTCTTGAAGAAAGCTAATTTACACTGGGAGGAGTTTCATTATCTTGTGAAACAGCACTGAGTAGAACTTTTGGAGCTGGACTATGGTTCAAGAGATTTTAAAGAGATTAGGACTTTCACGGCAGAAAAGACTGTGAAGTTGTATCCTTTTCCCCTTGAAGTTGAATCCTGATGAAAAGTTAAGAGTTAAACAAAAAGGAGCTGGGGAGATGGCTCCATGGAATAAGTGCTTCCCTGGCAAGCACAAGGGCCTGAGTTCAATCTCTGCTTCTGCCAAAAAAAAAAAAAAAAGAGTTGAACAAAAGGAATAGGCAGAGAGAAGAGGGACTGGGCAGGTGAACTGGCAGAACAAGGTTGGTTCCAGTTGGCCTTGGGGTGGGTCCAGAAACAACTGCAGGTGAGCCCTGAGGACAGGCGAGAGCAGGGAGGCCGAGGTGTGGCACAGCAGAACGAAGTCTGAGCCTCTTTTGGCCTCAAACAGGAAACCATTAAAGTTCTTTGAACAAATAAGAATAAGCTGTAAGACAAATGCTCAGGTGTCAGAAGTGAAAGCTGGCCTATGAAGAGGAGAGAAAGAGAAAGAGATAAACAGCTCTAGACCTTAAAAAGTGGTTGGAGGGCTGGTGAGATGGCTCAGTGGTCTAAAGCACCTACTTAGAACAAGCTAAGCTAAGCAAAACACAGGGACCACGGTTCAATCCCCCAGTACCACATGCCAGCCAGCCCCGCCCCCTGGTGGGCTGAGCTGGCCACACACACACACACACAAAATAAACAAATATTAATTTAAAAAAAAGTGATTGGAGATGGGTTAAGGCTGAGGTCAGGATCAAAAAGGATAGGGGCAGATTTCAAGGTGGCAAGGTCTGGGCAAGATGCTTTGCTGGGGGATTTTCTGCTGGGGCCTGGTGTGTAAATCAGGAACTCATGTCCAGCAGGTGTTGAGTGTGGGAGTGTGGGAGTGTGGGGGTCAACACAGAGATCTGGGATTTAAGCTCACACAGCTGATGGCCAAAAGCAGAAAATACCAGTGAGAGAGGGGTTGGGAAGATGGCTCAGTAAAATAAGTGCTTCTCTGGAAAGCGCAAGGGCCTGAGTTCAATCCTCAGTTCCGAAAAAAAAAAAGAAAATACCAGTGAGGTGACAACCCTCAGGTGAAGTAGAGGAGGAGAGTCCAGGACCTGGAGAACACGGGTAGCAGAGGAGAATGGGGCCCAAGAAAACAGTGACTAAGGCTATCTCTGGCAGGCACCTGAAGAAAGCAATCCTGCAAACTGAGGAGGAGCGGCCCATGCTGCAGAATGCTGTGAAGAGTGGGGAAGATGATGTTTGGAATGGCTGAGACCATCAGGCTCATGTAAAGGTAACATGGTGTAGAATTTATTGTATCTGGTACAGGCAGGCAGGTGGCGAAAGGGCCATCTGTAGGGAGATTGGGAAGTGGGCTTTTCTCTACAGGGTTTGGGAAAAGGTCAGGGGCATTAAGTGTGAAGATCTTAGTAAGCATCATTGGTCAAAGTTCTCTGGATGTCTCGTGCCTCAGTGGGCAAAGCCCTCAAAGCATCCAGCATACATGTTGGGTGGCTTCAGATGGCTGGGTGTTTGGAAGAGTACCTGCTCCATCTCAGCTCTTTGATGACATCCTGTGTGTGCCAAGGGCCCTCGTGCTGAGTTGAGAGCGACACCTCTGCTGGCCAACAGCCTGGGTATTGGGAGAGTCAGGTCTGAATGGAGCCTACAGACTGACTGGGAGCGGAGCTTCCTGAGGATGAGCTCGGGGACATGATGAAGGCAGACATGGCGGAATAAAAGCAGGAAGGGGTGGTTTGGTGAGTGATGAGGTAAAGGACCCAATGCCAGCCTGAGGAAGTCTGCTGGTAAGAGTGGGAAGAGGTAGGCACAAGGTAAAGTAGACTTTTGTTATGGCAAGGCCAGTGAAATCCCCAGGGAAGAGGCAGCAGAGATGGAGGACAAGATGTGTGCTGCTGGGGCTCACGGCAGACGGCACCTGAAATCCACCACTTTGGACCTCAAACCAGCAGCACGTTGCAGGCAACACACAGAGGAAGGGCTTTCTCCGAACTCTTTGATACCAGCAGACCAGATCCACCAAAGAGGAGCACAGCAGCCTTCAATTTTCTTACTGAAATTTCATTAACCAAGGAAGATTAAACTGCCATCACAGAGAAAGAGACTGAAAATCAAACAGCACACCTAGAGCCTGGAGGGACTTTGTCTCAGACCAGCGTTCATTCTCCCTGCTCATTCTCTTCCTGAGACTTCTCAGATTGCCTCTGCCTTCCCCCTCCCTGTCCCCAGGAGGAGGATACTGAACCTCAGACCCTGAGCTCTTGAACTCCGTGTGGTTCTGTGCACATGTACATGTCAGTATATCTGTGTGGCAGGCATGCTCTCCTGTTGACCTCTCATGCGTTTGTTTTCAGCAAACTCAAGGTCTTGGAGCTTCCGTAATGGTCTCCGTCATGGTGAAGCCTACTGGTTTGGAAGACTGTGCAAGAAAGCCCTGTGGCCCGGGAGATGGGAGCAGGGAAGAAAGGTCATTGAGGATAAGAAGAGACGCAAGGTGTGGAGAAGAGCCGAGGGAAGGGCTCAGACACTCTGTGAAGTCGGTCATTATCAAGGTTGCGGGGAGTCATGCTGAGGCTCATTTTTTCAAGTTGGATCACTGATTTGCCCAATGTCCAGTGGCTGGAAGATGTTAGCACTAGGACCAAAACCCAGGTCCTTCATTTGGGGGTCGGGGGTGGTGCTGGAAATCGAACTCAGAGCCTCACACTTGCCGGGCAGGCAGCTGTGCCACCGAGATTCATCCCCAGCTCCAGAACCTAAATCTTGGACCTGGGAAATTCACTGATCTTTCTGCCCCATCAGAAATTCTGAATTTGATATTCTAATAGGAGGTAATAGTTCTCCTTAAATACCCTAGAGCAAGCTGAGTATTTGAACAAGTAGTCTACCTAAAGCATTTCCAGCAACAGCCAGTCATAAAAAAGATATTCAGAGTTTAATTTTTTAATCTCAAAAATACTATGAAGTCTCAAAAAGTTAGAATAATATTTTATTTTATTTTTTTGGTGGAACCAGGGATTGAACTCAGGCCCTTGCATTTGACAGGCAAGTGCTTATTCTATTGAGCCATCTCCCCGGTCCTAGAAAAATATTTTAAATAAAGACTAGCTCCCTTTCCAGGTGAAAAGATGTAGAGAATTCTTTAATATAAGAATCTGTTTCTCTCTTCAAATCCTTGATTAAACTTTTAATAACAGTCCCACAGTCAACCTGGGGCAAACTATAAGAGGCAAACTTGCTTCATCCTGTTAGTCTAGGCCTTTTCCATAGTCCACTGTTTCCCAAAGCTGTGTCCTTCTCCTGGTACTCATGTGACAGGGCCTGGGAGACTCCCATGACAGGAAGTGGAAGTCTTTCCTAAAGAGTAGGGCTTGGTGGCATGTCCTGAACCTACACTTAGTCAATCACTGTACCTCAGCAGCTCAGGTGACCACTGAAAATAGCACATAACAGTCACAAAGGACTCCGCTTCACTCTTTTTGATTTATATTTAACACAACTTGTAGGTAAATAGGAAAGTGTATTTCCTTTTTGCTTTTGCTTGAATCTTGGTTTTTTTCAACCTCAGGACTCTTGGCATTTTGTTGGTATATTTTTTTCTTTTCTTTTTTTGTTTTTGTTTTTGTTTTTGGTATTGGGAATTGAACAGGACCTTGTGCTTGCAGGCAGACACTTGTGCCACTGAGCTTATATCCCCAGCCCTGTCATTTTGGTCTGGACACGTCTTTGTTGCAAGGACATAATGGCATGTTTTCTGGGATGCTTAACAGCATAGCTTGTTTCTGCCCACGGCACACTAGTAGAATAATCCTTTGCCCCAAAGTTGTGACCACCACAGATGTCTTCAGACATTTCCAAGTGTCTGGTGAAGCAGGAGAAATTTCCTCAGTTGAGAACCACTGCTTTAATCCAGGGAGGCCAACTACAGGTTTTACCATGACAAGGACCCCAAACATAGGACTGTATTCAGGTTGCTCTTGGACAATACAGACTTTCCACAGTGTAATCACCCTGTACTGGCATAATGTGCTGGGAGACACTTTGGCTCTTCTCTTGACAACTCAACAACATGGCATGATGGTAGGAACACTGCACTGTCCGTTGTAATGGAGCACTTGTATGAGTGAGACTCACCGATTTTTCTCAGTGACAGCGGGAAAGGTGCTTGAAGAGTCAGCATGGCCATTGTTGGCTTCAGCTTCTGGACAGCTTCCCTGGTCAGTAGAGGGTTTCAACACTAAGAAAAGACAAAGGAGTAGTTAAGAATCTCAGGACAGGGCCGGAGAGATAGCCCAGTCTGGCAAGCATAAGGTTATAAGTTCAATCCCTGGTACCAAAAAATAAAAAAGAATCTCAGGATAGGACCAAAAGTTGATAGGGTTGGGTTCTTTTTCTGAAGCTCTTTTCTCTTGGCACTAGTGTTGCTTCTCGATCACCCTCAGCCTTCTTCTAGGCTATGTCATTAAAACTCATCTGTTCTGGGACTCTAGGTCTTCTCCTATGCTAGGTCTGAGTCAGAAATTGAATAAAATAACTTATGCTTATAGAAACACAAGAGCACCTTGCAACAGGTAAAAGAGCACCATGTAAATCATGCACCAGGTCAAGGCCAGGGCTGAGAATCCCAGTTCCACGTGGTCGCTACCAAGCACATGCTGTAGGAAGAAGACCCACACCTACTCATCACCCTGGCGTTAGATAATGTAGAAGCAGCTAAGCCAAAATACAACCAACAAAGGTGATTCACAAACCTGGCAATTGTAAGATATTCTGGAAGAAATGTAAAATGTTAGAACTTCAGGTTATAATGACAGAACAGGGGCCAGGGAGATAGCTCAGTAGAATAAGTGCTTGCCTGGAAAGCGCAAGGGCCTGAGTTCAATCCCC